AAAAAAAAAAAAACATAAACAATAAATTTGGGTATTTGATATCTACAGCCTGTATGTTTCTTTCTTATTTTAATCTTTTCCTATAGTCATGGCCCATGGACATGAACATGGACATGAACATGGACATGGGAAAATGGAACTTCCAGATTACAGACAATGGAAGATAGAAGGGACACCATTAGAAACTGTCCAAAAGAAGCTTGCAGCACAAGGGCTAAGGGATCCATGGGGCCGGTAAGATGAATTAAGTAACTTAGGTAGAATTATCCTAGAGATTATTGTCTATGTTCTTTTTCTTTTTCCTTTTATTTATTTTATTTATTTATTTATTTATTTTGGAGACAGAGTCTCACTCTGTTGCCCAGATGAAAGCACCACCATGGTGTTAGCTTAGCTCACAGCAACCTCAAACTCATGGGCTCAAGAGATACTCTTGCCTCAGCCCCCCATGTAGCTGGGACTACAGGTTCCTGCCACAACCCCACAACACATGGCTAATTTTTCTACTTCTAGTAGTGACAGGATCTTGCTCTTACTCAGTATGTTCTCAAACTCCTGAGCTCAAGCAGTCCTCTCACCTCAGCCAACCAGAATGCTAGAATTATAAGCATGAGTCACCACACCCAGTCTGGTAGTCCTTTTTTGTCACCTTTTAATTTTACATCCATTCTGTGGATATTCCTCATTTTGTTCGCCGTTTATCTTTAGGGTTGTTTCTAGCTTTTGGCTATTTTGAGTAAACAAGTACAAGTCTGCGTGGACATACATTTTTATTCTTTTGGGTAAATACCTAAGAGTGGGATTTCTGGATCATACAATAATATATGGTTATTTTTTATAAAAAACTCCTCCATTGTTTTCCAAAGTGGTTGTACTACGCATTGCCATCAGTAATATATGAGAATTTCAGTTGTTCAGTGTCCTCATCAATACTTGGTATTATCAATCTCTTAATTTAGCCATTTTAGTGAATATAGTAGTATTAACTCTTTGTGGCTTTAATTTTCATTTTCATAAAGACTAATGGCAATGAGAATCTTTTTTATATGCTTATTTGTTGTTTATATTTTTTCTTTGGTAAAATTTCTATTCAAATATTTTGCCCATTCTATTTCGCAGAGTATATTTCTTCTCATTGACTTGTAAAACTCCTTTATATGTTGTATAAGTAGTAGTAGATATCTAACTTTTTAAAAATTGTTTTAGCTAGTCTAGGTCCCTTGCAGTTACATATAAATTTTAGAATAAGCTTATCAGCTTTTACAAAAAGCCTATTTGTGTTTTAATTGAGATCATACGGAATCTGTTTCACATAGATTCACAGTGTAAATATTTTATGTTCACTTTGATGCAAAGTCATGTCAAATTGGGATAATTGATGTCTTAACAAGTTGAATCTTCCAGTCATAGACAATGTAGGTCCTCTGTAACTTTCTCAGAAGTATTTTGTTGCTTTATGTACAGGTCTTGTGCATATTTTATCTGGAATAAGTATCTTTTTATGTACAGGTCTTGCGCATAAATTTATCCTGAATTAGTATCTTTTTTATGCTACTGAAAGTAGTATTTTTTTTTTTTTTTGAGACAGAGCCTTAAGCTGTCCCCCTGGGTAGAGTGCTGTGGCATAGCTCACAGCAACCTCCAACTCCTGGGCTCAAGTGAGTCTCCTGCCTCCGCCTTCCAAGTTGCTGGGACCACAGGCTCCTGCCACAACGCCTGGCCATTTTTTGGTTGCAGCCATCATTGTTGTTTGGTGGGCCAGGGCTGGATTCGAACCTGCCACCTTAGGTGTATGTGGCTGACACCTTAGCCACTTGAGCCACAGGTGCTAAGCCTGAAAGTAGTATTTTTAATTCTCCGTTTTAATCCCTTCTATTTCTAGATTACTGAGGGTTCTGTTTATTATTATTAATGAGTATCGAATTGTGTTAAATGCTTTCTCTATATCTATTGAGATGCTCATACTATTTTTTCTTTTTTATTCTCATGGTGAATGGCTTTTATTGATTTTTTTTTTTTCCAAATAAGCCAATCTTGCATTCCTAAGGTGAACTCTACTTCATCATGATGTATTATCCTTTTTCTATATTGCTAGATTTAATTTCCTGAAATTTTGCTGAGAGTGTTGCTTGGTTCACACCTGTGATCCCAGCACTTTGAGAGGCTGAAGGATAAGGACCACTGGAGCTCAGGAGTTCAAGACCAGCCTAGGCAACATAGTAAGACACTGTATAAAAAGTAGAAAAATTAGCTGATGCAGTTGCATGTACCTTTGCTTCTAGGTACTCAGGTAGCTGAGGCAGGAGGAATGTGTGAGCCCAAGAATTTAAGGTTGCCAATGCACTCTAGCCAGAGCAACAGGGTGACCCTGCCTCAACAACAGCAACAAAAAAATATGTTCATGAGGGATCTTCTGCAGGTTTTTTTCTTTTTTTTTTTTTCTGCAGGTTGTTTTTCCTTCTAACATCTTTGTCTGATTTTAATATCTAAATTAGATTTGTTGAGCTCTTACATTTTCTCGTATGTCAGATTTTTAGAGTTAAGTAGTTTTTGTTTTTCATAACATCATTTTTTTTTCACTGTATTGTCCTTATCTGTGTGAAGACTTTTTTCCTAGAGCTTTCTGACTTCTGTTTACTACTCTATTCAGAATACCCAGAAGAATGTTTGCCAGAGCAGGAAATCAGCTTCTAAAGTTCAGGCTGCTATGACAGGGAAAAGCTGCAATCCTCTTGAATATTAATAGCGATGTCAAGTGTTAACACACTTCTATGCCAAAATATATCACACGGGAACCTGTTTAATCTTTGTAACAACACTATAAAGTAGATAGTAATCATCATTGAATAGAAGAAGAAGCAGACCTGGGCAAGTATCTTGCCCAGCCTAAAACACTATAAATCTAATGTAAGTGGCAGAGCAAAGATTAATACTCAGGTCTCTAACTTCATGTTTCATTTTTTATGATGTTGTAATGACTAGTATGAGCAGAGCCATCTCGCTGACCTGTGATGGATAGGCTAAAGGAAGGTTGCAGTTGAGAGTTCTGTAAATTACTGAGTAGTTAGACAGTGAAATGTGACATCAATAGGTGTTTTTTTTTCTTATATATGTGAAAATCGGACTTATATACTTAATTATCCTATGCCACAGAAAGATTGCTATTGTGATCCGTTCATACAGAGTTAAATTTAACTGTGTTAGAAAGATGAAAATTCAATTTATTCTATTCAGTGAATATACATAAGTTATGTGGGGGTCAAGCAGAGTGGCTCACACCTATAATCCTAGCACTCTGGGAGACTAAGGTGGGAGAATCTCTTGAGCTCAAGTTTTGTATGATTATAATTTTTCCCTTTTTTTTTTCCTCTAGGAATGAAGCTTGGAGATACATGGGTGGCTTTGCAAACAACGTTTCCTTTGTTGGTGCATTATTAAAAGGATTCAAATGGGGATTTGCTGCATTTGTGGTAGCTCTGGGAGCTGAATATTTCCTGGAGTCCCAGAACAAAGATAAGAAACATCACTAAAGATAATACCTGGACACACCTTACTGGTTTCTTAACTCTCTTATAAAATTAAGATTTCTTCACTATAGCCTATTTGTCTGTGTGTTTGCCCCTTAAAGAATGTAAGTAAGATATAATAAAGTAAGGAAAGCACATGCCAATCTGTTTTTGTTATTCTTTTTAAAAAAAAAAAAAGTATCTCAGACTATATCAGATTTGATTTTCTTTTTTTTTTTTTTGGTTGCAGTTTTGGGTTGGGGCCGGGTTTGAGTTTGAATCTGCCACCTCTGGTATATGGGGCCGGCACCCTACTCCTTGAGCCACAGGCGCCACCCAGATTTGATTTAGAATACATCAGAAGTTGGGGACCAGCAGTGCAATCTGTGTATACCAGGCAGCCAACATATATTTAACTCTAAAATAGATACGTTCACAGGGACGTCCAGCCTTTTTTTCTCTACTGCACATTGGCAGAATAAGAGTTTTCTTGGGACACACATTAAATACACAAATCCTAACAAAAGCTGATTAGCAAAAAAGGTCCATGCCACAAATAAGCAAAAAGTCCTCACAAAATCAGCATGTGGCCTATGGGCCAGCAGGTTGAACACCCCTGTTCAAAGGTTTTTAAATGGGGGTTGACCTTGCTGCTTTTATATCCTCTTCAGATGGTTTAGAGGGATCTAGCTTATAATATAAGTACTTGCTGCTGCCTGGTTCTGGTTGACAATCTATGCATCATGTTTACTTTTCTGTGTTGTGGTATTTTCTACCCTTGCCTCATCCATTGTTCCCATGTTGTGAAAAGCCTTACATTTTTTTCTTATGTATAACTAATAATAAAGTAGACATTCTCCTCATGTCATTGACTTTTTAAAATTTACTTAATTGCAGCCTGAACAAGAGCAAGAACTGAAATTCACTACAAATAGAAAAAATAGCTGGGTGTGATGGTGTTACAGTTCCAAGGACTCAGGAGGCTCAGGCAGGAGGATAGCTTGAGCTCAGGAGTTTGAGGTTGCAGTGAGCTATGATGACACCACTGCACTCTAGCCAGGGCAGCAGAGTGAGACCTCTCTCTCAAGATTTAAATTTTTTTTTTTTTTGAGACAGAGTCTCAAGCTGTCCCCCTGGGTAGAGTGCTGTGACATCACAGCTCACAGCAACCTTAAACACTTCAGCTTAAGCAATTCTCCTGCCTCAGCCTCCCAAGTAGCTGGGACTACAGGCACCCGCCACAATGCCCAGCTATTTTTTCCTTGCAGTTGTCGTTTTAGCTGGCCCAGGCCGGGTTTGAACTCACCAGCTAGTGCCCTACCCTCTGAGCTACAGGTACCACCCAGAGCATACATTCTTATGAACATGTGGTACATGTATCACAACAGACTGCATTCTGACTTGTAAAACTAGGCTCGGCATGACTGTGCACATGTGGTACCTTACACCAATAATCCTAGAATTCTGGGAGGCCAAGGCAAGTGGATTGCTTGAGCTCAGGAGTTCAAGACCAGGCTGAGCAAGAGCGAAACCTTGTCTCTAAAAATAGAAAAAGTGGCTCGGCGCCTATAGCTCAACCGGCTAAGG